ATTCCGTTATGGATTAAATTAACCCTGGAAAGGTTTAGTTACGCAATTAGGTGTGTCAAGAACAAACTCCCGGTGTTCAAAGCAACAACTTATGTCCGAAGAAAATTCTTCCTAAGCAGTGACCCTGATCTGTAACAGCCTGTTTATTGAAACAAGAGCATGCGACTCACAACCGCTTTTTAAAAGTGCAGTTTCAAAATGCTTGACGGCGCAATATGTAAAAATAATGTTGCAACAAAATTGCAATGAAAAAATGTGTTGAAGAAGGGGCCAAGAGGTAAGAATGTTGATGACCAATATCAATGAAATGTGCTACGTACATTGCATTCACTTGGTCAAACCCTCCTGAAGAGGTGCATTGGAAAAACATATATTGGTGCCAGAATTCACTTCACTTCTTCACCCGACCTACTTTCTTTTTTACTCAATAGAGCATAACACACAGACATATCAACAAGGGTAAACTGCAGAGGAATTGCGAACCGATTGAGATAAACCATTTTTGTCTCCACTGCTTTTTATTCTGCTTAATCAGCCACGCCTACCTTGCAGCGATACCAAAACGTGTGAGCTGAGAAGGAAACGCTGACTGAATCTATCCATCTGTATTCGCTTTTACCATTCGCTCTTCTCTTACTCGTTTATGATTCCCAGATTGTTCTCATGTAAACATGTCAGGCATATCGGTGAAGCAAACCGATCCTCCTTCCAACATAATCACTATTTCAAAAAATTTTCTCGTTTTTCCTTTTAGTCGCTTACGCCTAATGTACAGTTATATCAAAATACCTGCGCAAATTGACCAGTGCCAACTTGTTCGCCGCACACACAGCAGATAAATCTCCCATTCTATCTGTCTCGCCCCATAAGTACGGCCGCTGAAATGAAAGTAAATAAATACGTTCGTCTCTCACTAATCTTTTTATAGCGTCACAATGTATAGTAAAGGATTTACTAACATCAGGTGCTATGTTTAAATGATATAATTTCAGCTTTAATCTTTTCCTATCATCAAAATTGCTTCCCATCCTTTGCCTAAGGAAATCAAAACTCGGTTCCGTCCGTACAAGGAAATCTCTGTCAGGACGCTATGTGCCCAAACAAGGCTTTGAACTGAAAACCATGGCAGATAAAATAGCGTCTCTTTGCCTGACATGGAATATGCTGTTAAACTATACAAGATCATACCGAACAGAGCATGCCTCGTAAAACCGAGAATATACATTATTATTATATGGCGCCTACCAACTTCACACAAACAATGGAGGTAAACACACCACAGTGCGATCAGATACGGTTGGCGAAGCAAAGCACTAATACGTGGCCTGATCTGTGGCAAAAGCACGAACTTTCATGTCCCGGTCTCGGAGTGCGCTTCAGTGTACGCAGGTGACGACGCTGTGAGAGCATAGACACTTGCTAATAGGCGAATCCCGAGGTGAGTAAGCGCCGAATTAACAGACTCGAACGTCACCAGTTGAATGCACATCAGAAGTTCTTAGCAAAAGGTATATCAATATGTGACAACTCCGACAGCCTACCCAAGAAACGGGTCTCTATCCAGGCTCTGAAACTTCTAAATGCTCTGGGGGCGAATTACACGGAAAACCAAACACAATTAAACTCATCATCAATCATTAACAACTACACATCAGCCATTTGAAAAAAATGTTTCACTGCCGTACCGCAACGACCTGCGGAAAGAGGAATAACAAGAGATAGAGAGATTAACGCTCTAAGCAAATATTCTGTATCAAGGCGCCTACATATTGTAGTGTCACAAACAGTTGGCTACCGTGCAAAGATAAGGCGGTTTCAGCGAGACAGTTTGCTTTTGGCATTCACTGTCCCGCGCCACAAGCAGCTAATACTCGTAGCTAACTCAGCACCAAACAAAAATTAAAAAGGTAGTCTGTGAAGGAGACAACAGCGGACACGCCACTGATGCCGACTGCTGAGCTATGTCCTACAATGTCCCGAGTTAGGCACAGGGCGGGTCACGTGGATTCCATCCTGGAATGCGAGAAAGAGAAACGGCACTCGTAGGAGAAGTCAAACGCTATTAGTTTCACAATCTCGTAAGTGTCATTGATCCTAGTTTCCAACATGCGACATACATGAAAGTGCAAACGTTGCAAACCATTATGGGAACGGTGCAACATGGGCATTAAAGGGCTGATACCAATAGGTGTCCAGTGAGCGGTGCGTAAAGAAGGCTACAGATGGTATAAGTCCACTGGCATCGCTGCTGCCTTCAAGTAAGCTGGGAATTACAGAAGGATAATAGTGTGAACCTTGAGGGGAGTGAGATAAACCGGTGGAAATAATGAAAGGAGGAATCAGCAGTAGCATATTTTCGCTTAGTGGCCCTTCTGTATGTAGCGGATAAGTCGGGCCATTTAAGAAGGAGCGACGAACGATGCCGGATGTGGTTGAAGTTTGATGAAATCGTCGTGGTTGTATGTGGACTGATTGACTTCCGTGGAGTCTCATCCCGGACAAGAGAATGAATAGCATCTACAAACGAAGTGTTAAGCCTAAAAGCCTGCCCAAAAGGCAGCGGATATGAGGAAAAGTCGATTTAACAGATATGGATGTCATCTCATTTCTAATCCCTAACCAGAAAGACCAGCAGATTTAGTCAGTCTACCCAACGTGGCAGGAGTAGGTTTCAAGAGGACCGGTGGTATCATACAGTATAACTCAATGGGTTGAAAAGTTACGCAAACCATTGACTCCAGTTAAGATTCAGTCCCGTCGCGTACATCGTCTGAGAGACCCCAGCAAGGAAGTCGCGAAGCTCAAATTGAGGCAAACCTCGAAGTAAGGGCCTTCCTTCCTTCATTCCAACCAGATGCATTTCGCGCAAACACATGTCGCGAAAACCAGTGTTCTTGTATGAGTAAAACGCTTAATATATCAGAGGCTGGTACGAGAAATGACGGCGCAGTGGTTCATTTGCTCTTCATGCACAAAATACGAAACGTCGAACGCGCTCATTACTCACGTGATGTTCCCACGAGTCAAAATAAGAAGGTACAGGTGGTGCCCGGGTGGCTGAACTTATGAAAATCTCCTAGTTTATGCTGTGGCTGTCGTAGAAGATAACCAACGGCACCCCATTTGCTGCATCGAACAGGAAAAATAGGAGAGAGGATGCTACCGCTCAGGTTTCCCGTATTCCTATTCCCATCTTGCGCATTTACATCTTCACCGTTCCAACTTCCTCTGCATTCAACCTCCAAATTCTCAGATTTACTCCACTTGACATCAATAATTTCGACTTGCATGCAATCGCGGGTAGTCCCACCAGTGCAGTCAATAAGTCCATGTTAAATCAAGCGCTCTACTTCAGCTCATTCGTTTACAGTTGGAGTCCTCGATCCCACTTACCCCGCAAGACTGGCATGCTGCAACAGATTGGTCAAAAGGCAGCGCCTGCTCCAACACTAGTGATCATATCGATAGATAACCGATGTTTATCGGAAACACGCCTGCAGAATTTGAGTTGTGTTTACAGTCCGCCCCCCCCCCCACACATGCGACACTGGTACCACTTCTGTAATGCGTTTGTCTGGAGTTGATGCAGCTTCGAATGCCGCTCAAGCCGGTGCGAGAATGGCTCTGAGTCCCCGGGCTGAAACTGCTCTGATGTACTGGATACAAGCAAGCAGCCGAACGTGAGCTATCAACCAGGTAGTGCTTCCAAAACTTAGAAATCGTGCAAGTACAAACACAGCTTATTTGTCATTGTTGCATACGTCTCTACAAAATGTAGCGTTGACTCCACGAAAGATGAATGCAGTCATCAACTGAACGAACTTCTTCGTTACAGAAACAGTATGGATACTGTGATGCCGCCGGTGGTCTGAACGTTCAAATTAGAAAAATGTCCACCATGAGCTGAATTGGGGCGGCCAACACGGTGTAGGCTCCCGTAATCATAACCGCAAGCGGTTGCTACACCTGTGTGAAGATGTTCGCTTATTTCTCGCGAACAGCACACTCCGAGATCATCTATATCATTGTTACAAGAGATTGCCTGTTGTTTGACATCCCCGATGTGGTTGCGGTTGATGTGCATGTTGACAAGGTGCCTACCCGCCTATTACTCACTACCTCGTCCATATTGGCTCCAGGAGACAGTTGGTCGTTGCTGGAGGGGACCGGTGCATGGTCCTTGGGGCCGTGCCACGCTCAAAGAGTGGTTCCATGCACTCAGTGTGGAGCGGAATACTGTCCAGCCACCGCCTTGTATGCGCTTGATTCCCAAATACAGCGTGTTTGTGTTTGCCTGTGAAGGAGTGTGGGCCGGCTCCATTGATGAAACGTGGCTTCCATCCAAATGTCTCCCGGTCTTATTCCTTCGGATTTACACTGGATATGGGGTCTGTGGATGGAGCTTTGGGTGGTTCAGAGCAAGCCACCCATGGTCCCTGTGTAGGCGCAGGCGCCTTTTGGATGGTCACAATGACAGGCAAATCCGAAATCGGATGCCGCCAAGCATATAATGGTGCCGTATTGCGGCACCAGCGCTAAGGTGTTTCTGACTTCTAGCTAACGTGTGATGGAACTACAGACTGCATGAACGAAATAACGAAGTAAAAATTGTGGATCCATCGTGCAACAGCAGACTGCAAAGCATCTCCTACTAATGTATCGTTAAAGCGCGAAAAGGGTAGGTGTTTTCACTAAACCTCCATGAGAAACACTGACAAACATGAGGTTTACTACAAAGTATGATTTGCAAAATCAGCACATGAATGGCTCCGGAGTAAAAAGGCTACGAATACATGGGAGACATTGAGGTACAGAGTGAAGTCATAGCAGCTGCTGCCATACGTAATACTAGTGAGGAATAGTGGAACTAACGAAAACAAACTGTCGATAGCAGGTGACTGAGCCTGTATACACAGACACATGCAGTCAATGTAGAGTATTGCTTGATGAATAAGAAAATGTATAACAATATACGGTAAAAGGTAAAGTGAAAATCTCACCGCTTTTTGATCTGCAGGAACTTGGACGATGCCCAGTAACAGTGGAGAGCACGTGCGTACATGTTCCATTTGTTTTTAAAGGCTGATTAACGAGAGGAACGATTAGTGTTGTAGAGAAGGATAAGAAACGCTAAGAGAAGAATAAGGTCAGAAAAGAGAGTATATTATATCGTATGAAGAACGCGTCCCGAATACATGAGTCAAATGAATTTGAGTGTAAAAGGTAGTGCGTAAAATGCAGAGGGATAAACATGTTCTTACATGCTATGTCCAGGATCGGGTCAACAAGATTTTACACATGGGCTTTAAGTTCTGGAGTGCGATGAGTCAGGTCCAAGATCGGAGCGGACCAAAAGCGGAAAGCTCGTGAATGTAGACCACATCGACCGAAGTTGATAAAGGACAACGGTGACTCAATAGTACTTGGTTTATCTGTCCTATTCAATATAATATTGTTCGAGGAGGGAATGACCTCAAAATAGCTGCTTTCCACGGCCAGTAAAATAACGTTCTGTGAAAAACATTGCCGTACTAGTCTGATTTCCATAGCCTTCAAACTAGTGACCTACAGTATGCTACGGTTGCCCACTGACGCTCATCATAAACGAATAGGTGAGAATGAGATCGGCATCTTCCTCCGTAAAGGGTGGAGCATTGGCTATATTCATATTCTTCACTTTTGCAAACAGCCTACTATGATGGCCTCACCCAACTTGACGACTAGCTGATTCCGCTGAGCGCACTTATTTCTGGTGGTTTGGAGGGTGGATAATCGCTAGATAAGGGCTCTCGTGGTCCTGTAAAGTTCCACGGGTAACTAACCCAGAGTTCAGCATGACAATCGAAGTGCGCCAAGACTGCACCATTTCTTCATTTTTCTGAAACTGCGAGATCAAAATGATCATGAATGACTCTAACCTGTCGCCATCTCTCCTGTAGTCGATACTCAGCCGAACGCTCGAATGTTGCTTCCAGAATATGCAGGTGGCATACAGGCGCATTCAGTTACGTACTCTTACTTTCGTCAAAATGTAAATTGGAACCTATTTTCTACTATCCACTGGTTACAAAACTGGGATCTATTCTTCCCTTCCCATAACATCAAGGTCTCTGTCCTGTTTATCCCAAAACACTATTTCCTGTAATTGCTGATTCTGTAAAAGAGATCTTGCACAACTCCTTTGGCAAACCATACTTGTACCGATAAGGATATGAAAATATTCGTAAACTAGATTGAACGCATGAGGAGACTCGTGATTTCAGCGTGCTGTTGCGTCTCAAAAAAGTTATAGTTGAGAGATGCCAGGAGCGGTATGCACCTTCGGCAAGAAGAGAAAAACACCTGATACAACAAGGACAAAGATGGTGAGCTAAGTAGCTTATCACGCAAGACGACAGTGTTGTCGAGTTGCCTACTTTCATAGCAAACGCTTTACTGCACATCACTGAAACTCTCATCACTGAAAATCCGATCCTGCTTAATCTCACCTTTTATTACTGAAAATGTTTTTGTTGCGAACTTCAACATCGGATTCATTTAACGCATGACTAACTTGCTTCGACCATCCTAAAACCCTGGTCCTCAGGGCATTTGTTCCGCTGTAATCAATTAATGTGGTGATGAAATCCCAGTAGCATTGCTAGATACTTTTTCCTGTCCTTACAGAAAGGCCACTGTCTTGAGAATTGAAAGCAGTCTGTTAGCATACTGCAATATAACTATGGGTTTAAAATAGACATTCGTAACTATCGTCCTATTAGTTACACCTCCATCTGTACCTTAATAATGCAAGGTAAAAATTAACTTCCTTCCTCATATCGCACAATCTTCGCTTACTTCGGCATGGTTTTTAAAATCTCGTTTGTGCATAACCTGTTAAATTCATTCCTTAAATAATCTCACCGGAGCGATTAATTCTGGACCGAAGTGTATTGTTCTCTATCTTGACATGCAAAAACCGTTCGATCGAGCCCCACACAAATGGCTATTCTGGGAACTGAGTAGTCTTGGTATATCGGATACGCTTCTTTCCTGGTTTTCCCTGTCAGGACGCTCGTAGACAGTCAACATAAATGGTTTCATGTCTAGGCCAAAACACGTTACTAGTGCCTGTACCCACGGACGTCGCGGGTTTTTGGATCAGCGTGTGCTGGATACTACTTTTGCCTCAGATTACTGTGTTAGCAGCGTTTTATCTGTGTGAATTGTGCACCAATATTCTTCCTTTGCCGTATTTTCCAAGCGGTGCAATTTTGGCGTCCATTCTTTGACTACTTCCGGAGATCTCATTGATTTGCCATACTGCCACCTCTGTCCGCCATCTTGGATTTGCTCTAGCTTGTGATGCCGCCCCAAGCTACTTGTGGTTAGTGTTCGAAAGTTGTGGGAAATAAGGCTCATCCACTTCGATGCTTCGGCTGTGATGTTTTGTTCCATATTTCGTGCACTGGCTTATCCGTTGACGTGTTTCGAAAATCGCTCGACATCCGACATCGGTTTCTTCAAGTTATGTGTGATAAATGTCGAGGTACAAGACATCAGAATACGCAGAGACCTCATAAACTACGGGAAAATCTCTCTTCCAGATAGAAACAAACCGTTCACCACGTGGGATCAAACGCCCTCGTGGAAGTACCTCTGCCTCCTCACCTTCTATTGTCCCTCCGCGATCTGCACCACCACCAGCGTCTTCGACCCCGGCCGAACCCCAGGTTCAATGTTCCCCACCGATGGAAGACTCAGACTCAGAAGCTACGAAATGCCGCTTAACTGATCGGTCCATGAATTTCTCAGAGGCTGTCTGTGAACTTCTGAACACCGAGGATCCATGGACCACTCAAAAGCGCAACGGCCCACGAAATCGAGTTCAGACGTCACCTGCTGATAAACAACAACCCAATCAGTTAAGCGCCTCTAGGTCTGCTCCCACAGGTTCATCATTGATTTCGCTGAGGCGTCATAATCTCATGGTTTTCCACGTACCGGAATCAAAAGACGAAAACCCTCAGATACGTTATGATCACGATGTTGAGTTCCTCCAGGGGCTCATCGATGGACTCTTGGATGTGGGCGAAGACAGTGTGACGATTAAACAAGTAATCCGACTTGGCCAGAAAACTAACCAGTCATGTCACCCTCTGAGAATCACCTTTGCAAATCCCAATATGCCGCAGCTCATACTGTCTCGTCTGTCAAGGCTGAAAGGCATAAAAGTTCACCTCCGCCGAGAATTGGAACCCGGAGATAGGGATCGTTTGAAGACTGCGGTCATTGAGCTCAAACGCCGTACAGAGGAAGGTGAGACTGACTTACAAATTGTAAATTTTCGGGTGATCAAGAAGGATGTAGGAACCCGTATCAACCGGTTGCTCAACCTCCAGGCACGTCCCGCAGTACCTCCCAGGACCTCCGTGTGGCATTCGCCAACGTGTGCAGCCTAATGAACAAACGTGACGAACTGTGCCGCTTCGCTGTCTCGGAGCGGCCAGACATTTTAGGACTTGCAGAGACATGGCTGAACTCCGACGTCATACCCCAAGAAGTCGTGTTGTCAGGATACTCTTGTTTCCGATGCGACCGAAAATCAAAGGCTCACGGTGGTGTTCTGTTGTACATAAAATCGTCACTATCTGGCAAACTTACCAGTACCTATCGGAGCGAGGATAGTTTATGCGAGGCATTTCGGTGCACAGTGCGCCTCACGCGCGCAGAACTAATAGTGGGGGTTATCTACCGGAGTACATTAAACCGTTGTTGCGATTGGCTACCGTGATTACTGAAGCACATGAGCCGCCTTCAGTTCTTACTGATGGGGGGTCTAAATTTACCTAATATATTTTGGCCAGATGTTCGACTTCTTCCCGGTCATGGCAACGTTGAGGCACAATTCGCTAAAATGACTATTAAAATCGAGGCAATGCAACATGTCATCCAACCGACGCGCGTAACTCCGTACTCGGCATCTTGTCTGGACCTAATGTTTACGAGCTGCGAGCAGAAGCTAAGAGAGATCAGAGTCATCGAACCTCTGGCGAACAGTGACCACTGCTTCATTGTGGCAAGCTTAGAACTGTCGTTACCATATTCCAATCAACGGAAGCCGACATTCAACTATTGGAAGACAGACTTCAACGGACTTGTCCAAGCCACAATTCAGACTGATTGGACGCTACCACAGGATGCGTCACTTGAGGCCTGGTGGTCATTAATAAAGGGGAACCTTAACTCGCTGTGTACTCGGTTCGTTCCCTTTAAGTACCCAAAAATCGGACCTGTCAAAGTGCATTGGTTTGATAGAGAATACAGACAGTTAGCGCGACGACGTCGTAAACTTTGGGATAGATACATCAGCTCAGGTTGTGATGAAGATTAAACGGTGTACAAGAAACAGCGTAACTTATGTAACGCCGCAAATATCAAGAAACGCCGGCAGTTTGAAGAGGAGCTAACATCCTCGGCCACAACTGCACCCAAAATAATATTTGCCTACTTGAAACGTCAAATGAAACCTGGGGACGACCTACCGGTCTTAGAGAGCTTAGACGGGAAGACACTCATTTCAAGCGCGGAGCGTGCGGACGCCCTGGCTACGCACTTCCTCACTGTATTTTCCAGTAAACCAGCGGCTGTTCCAGTACCGGCACAGGTTGCGCCAGTCTTGCTCGACAGCCTACAATGTGATGCAGTCGAAGTACATCAGCTACTCGTCAACCTCAATGGTGCAAAGCCCCCCGGACCAGACGGACTTCACCCACTAATACTCAAGTCCCTATCGATTATCATCTCACCAGCTGTGACAAACCTTTTCAATAGATCGCTCTCTGAAGGATCCGTCCCGAACGACTGGAAATGCTCGATAGTTAAACCGCTTCCCAACGGTGGTGATCCGAGTAAAATAGAGAACTATAGACCGATCTGTTTGACTTCGGTATTATCCAAAGTTCTCGAGAAGGCTGTGAAAAAGTGTCTGCTGTCGTTCTTCGAATCGATGGACGTATTGACGCCAGCGCAACAAGGCTTTACGAAAGGGCGATCCTGCATCACCAACTTGATGTACGCAAACCACCAGTGGGTTCGAGCTC